TTTTATATGTCAGTCACAATTCGGCGTGAAAAAAAGAAAACCGATCGATCATTGAATCGAATTTAATCGAGTGTTAGAATTAGTGAGAAAAAAAATATCTCTTACACTCTTTTATGCGAGGGGCCATACTGGGCATGCTGTAATAAAGTCGGCAGTCTTGTAACGCGATATTTAGAAAAAAAAATCGAACAAAGATAGAAAATAAAGTGTGTGTGTGTGTGTGTGTATGTGTGTGTGTATACACACGTATTTATATGGAAGAAAAAGAACTTGTCTATTTGTGTTCATACGCGTATCATTCGAATCATTATTATACTCTATCGCGTTTATATCATTCAAGTCATTTTAATGTCATTACGCACAATGTATTGCATATGTTTTGCATTTCAATTTTGCATATCCATCTCTGATAAATATGTAAGCATATACAGGGTGTCCCAAAAGTCCCGGACCGGTCGAATATTTCCTAAATTATGCACTTTAGAAAGAAATGTTTCAGACAAAAGTTATATGGCTTGAAGAGGGCCATCAGATAATGGCAATGACTTGACCTTGGAGAGTCATTTGAAAGTGACGTAAAGGTCACCTTCAATTTCTTAAATGGAACCCCCTATTTTTTATTACACATTCGTGTAGCTTATCTCGAGAACTTTCCAAAACACTATAATAAAGTATTTCTTTATTGAGTACTTTTCGAGTTATGAGACTTGAAATCATTTCTTAATTTTGCATAAACCATAAAATATCTAGTAAAATATTCATTTTTCGATTATCATACCTTAATACAAATTATGTACAAAATAATAAGAGGAATCAATTGGTGTAAGAAAACACATAGTTGTTTCAAAGAAAAAATATGTAATTGTTAATTGCAAATTACATATTTTTTCTTAAAAATAACTATGTGCTTTCTTTACACCAATTGATTCCTCTCATTATTTTGTACATAAAAATATGAAGATAAGATAATCGAAAAATGAATATTTTACAAGATATTTTACGGTTTATGTAAAATTAAGAAATGATTTTAAGCCTCATAATTCGGAAAGTACTTAATGAAAACTAACTTAATTATAGTGTTTTGGAAAGCTTTCGTGAGCTACCAGAATATTTAATAAAAAATAGGGAGTTCCATTTAAGAAATTGAAGGTGATCTTTACGTCACTTTCAAAATGACTCTCCAAGGTCAAATCATTGCCACTATCTGATGGCCCTCTTCAAGCCATACAACTTTTGTCTGAAACATTTCTTTCTAAAGTGCATAGTTTATAAAATATTCGATCGGTCCGGAACTTTTGGGATACCCTGTATAAGCATAATTTTCGTAGGTTTTTTACAAGGAGGTATATATCTTCTATCAGTCTCTGTGACTTCTCCGTAGATGATTAAATTATACAATTGAATTCCTTAAGTTATACATATATTTGGAAGAAAACTATGTAGAAACTTATTTATAGACATACATATGTGTGTTTTATATATGATGTACACTTAAATAATTTATTATTAATGGTTCGTATATATACATATATAAATGATACTGTTTGCTGCGGGCGGTATATCCAGATTGACCATAACAAGAGACTAATTTATTATATCATTATATGTGCATTGTGCGCACGAAAAATGCGACATGATCATATGTAAAATCGTTCTTCGCATACTGTAAACATTGATTTAACATTGTTGCCCGTTCATTTTTTAAGAGCCACAATGTGTTTACAAAATCTGTTCGTAGCAATAGTCTTAAATCAATGTACGTATGTGCAAACGTCTCTGTGGGTTGTAAATATGTTATTATTGCAAAATATCTGGCATTCCCGCGACGGTACAGTAAAATTATAACATTATATCCTCGTATACATAAGAACAATGGCTCTCTTACGTTTCGCGTAAGTCAGAATCTGTACTACATTACAGAACAGATATATAGGTAGCATAGAGAATGTGTAAGATGAAGAGTCAAGAGCCTTTGTTTAGACCAAATGTGTTTCTAGCACTTCTTTCGTAAGGATAAATTTAGAGAATAGTCATTATATACCGATTACTACCTTTACATGCTACTTACGCTATTCGGTATTTTGTCACTAACGTAATGATGTTCCAACACAAAAATCTATGTCGATGTCGTGTCCAAGCGTATAATTTACATATAGAAATATAAATATCATTTAATATTTAAATAACACATATAAAGTCTGTAATAAATCCTTCATAGACTACCACAAATGGTGAGTATATATACCCTATGTTAACACTGTATTTCCTTTCTTTTATCGAATCATTCTTTTATTACATATTATATATTCTTTTATTAATGCTCGAAATTAATTATTATCAAATTATATTCAATTTTATCATAAATAATTGTTATAATAGGAAATCAGTAATTAATAATTCGGATACTTATATGTTATTATATATACAGGGTGTTTCAGAGCGACCGTATCAATAGTTTTTTAAAAAAACAATTGTTTCGGAGAAAAAATATGTAATTTGCAATTAACAATTACGTATTTTTTTAAAAAACAACTATGTATTTTCTTTACACCAATTGATTTCTCTCATTATTTTATACATAAAAGTATTAAGGTAAGATAATCGAAAAATGAATATTTTTCTAGATATTTTATGGTTTATGCAAAATTAAGAAATGATTTCTAGCAACCTCATAACTTGAAAAGTATTCAATGAAGAAATACTTTATTATAGTGTTTTGGAAAGCTCTCGAGATAAGCTACACGAATATGTAATAAAAATAAAAATAGGCGGTTCTATTTAAGAAATTGAAGGTGACCTTTACGTTACCTTCAAATGGTCAAATCATTGTCACTATCTGATGGTCCCCTTCAAGCCATACAACTTTTGTCTGAAACATTTCTTTCTAAAGTGCATAATTTATGAAATATTCGACCGGTCCGGGACTTTTGGGACACCCTGTATATTATGTATGTACAAATATATACACACATATTTTTTTCGAGTAAGTTATTTAATTGTATAAAATTGATCGATAATCTGATACGGAATCTTTTAAATTTTCGTAAATAACATAGGGAACTAGATAGGGAAGTTATTTTTATTAATTATTATTATCTACGAGCTAGTTTACATCGCGCCTTCTCCCTCTTTTTTTATATCGAGATTATACTTTTACTAGATTATTTCGAATATCTAAAAGTTTAGAATGATTTCTATTCCTGTTCTTTTTTAGTGTACATATTTATTTACTATTTTTATTAGCTCAATATTTGTCTTACATTTACATTATGCATTATTCATGTCAACTACTTTAATATGATAAGTTGCCGTTATCTTTATCTTGGAAATGCTTCTTCATGCGAGTTTATCAGTTAAGTCATATGTTGGAACTTTATAAAAGTTAATTATAGTTTCTACTCATACAATTACCTATATACAAAGTATTTTTTTATATTTTCTGTCTGATCGTCATGTATTCCATTTTTATTTCCATTTTTCACATTTAAATTTAAAAATAAAGGAACATATTTAAAAAGAAATAGTTGCTATTGTTAAAAAATCAAACAGATTAGCAAAATGAGTATTATTATATATTTCCTATATAATATAATTATAAAAATTCTGATATTATATAGCTGTCATTCTCATTAGATATGCTCTTTGACATATTTTAAAACGCAATTAACATATACTCTTTAAAATAACGATGTCTTCAAGGTACTTTGAAAAAATAAATATTTTCAAAAATTTATTAATTTACTTAATCGATTTTTTTTAATCGTAAAATTATAGTGCATGGCAAAGTGGAAATGCTATTTTATGAAGAAAAGTCTTGTATATTTTGTTGCTTTATACGATACGAGTAATAGCAGAATTTAGAATGTAAAATGCCGTTGCGTAATTTTTTCCTGTCAATGTCACGATGTATTTTCTAAACGATGTTTTAAAACTATTCAATGTTTTAAAATCTTCTCAATTTATGTTTTAAGACTATTTTTAATAATTTAAGACAAGTGTAACATTAGGAAATAACAGTGTAAGTATTTGCGATGCGCGGGACCTTGAAGATTATACGTATTTATACAGGGTGTTTCATTTTAATCGCCCCAGGCAAATATCTCGAAAAATATGGAAATTATGAAAAAATGTTTCAGATAAAGTTGTATGGTTTCGAGGGGGCCATAAGATAGTAACATTGGTTTGACCTTGAACAGTCATTTGAAGGTTACTTCAATTTTTTTAAATAGAACACCCTATATATTTTTGCACATTCTTGTAGCTCATCTCGGGAGCTTTCCAAAACACTATAATTAAGTTAGTTTTCATTAAGTAAGCTTTTCAAGTTATGAGGCTTGAAATTATTTCTTAATTTTACATAAACCGTAAAATATCATAAAATATTCATTTTTCGATTATCTTATCTTAATACTTTTATGTACAAAATAATGAGAAGAATCAATTGGTGTAAAGAAAACACATAGTTATTTTTAAGAAAAAATATGTAATTTGCAATTAACAATTACATATTTTTTCTTTGAAACAACTTTGTGTTTGCTTTGTGTTTACACCAATTGATTCCTCTTATTATTTTATACATAAAAGTATTAAGATAAGATAATCGAAAAATGAATATTTTACAAGATATTTTATGGTTTATGTAAAATTAAGAAATAATTTCAAGCCTTATAACTTGGAAAGTACTTAATGAAAACTAACTTAATTATAGTATTTTGGAAAGCTCTCGAGATGAGCTACAAGTATGTGCAAAAATATATAGGGTGTTCCATTTAAAAAAATTGAAGTGACCTTCACGTGACCTTCAAATGACTCTTCAAAGTCAAACCAATGGCACCATCTTATGGCCCCCTCGAAACCATACAACTTTTCTTGAAAACATTTTTTCATAATTTTCATATTTTTCGAGATATTTGCCTGGGGCGATTAAAATGAAACACCCTGTATATGTATAAAATGTTGCGTGCAACTCAATATTATAAGCGAAGAAATGTCATGCGCGAGCTACGCATGAGAGACAGGCTCAAGTGCAAAAGGCACGCGATGGGTGCATTCACGCATTAAATAATCCAGACACGCGATTAGAGGGGACGGCAAGAATGGTCAGACAAAAGTTGTCTGACTGGCTGACCGACTAGCTGACAGATTACTAAGTATCGACCGAACTACATCCGGAGTAAGTATGATTTAATTTTACGTAACGCTATTATGTGACGCGCTTCCTTTTGATATGTATAATTTATGCAATCGCCGAAATTAACGAGCTGAATAACTGTTATAAATTTACTATCAATAAAATTTGTCCGAGTATACCATAAGATACTTTTGCGGCTGCGCGATGTAAAGTTCAGCTTTTGGTTTTTTTTACAATCCAGACAGCACAAAAAGGCCGAAAGATGTCTTAAAGATGTCTAAAGGACTTTAAGACGTCTTTAAGTCGTTTTTTTGATGTCTTTTGGACATGTGTGCTGTCTGGGAATTGAATTATCTGTCTTATTATTTTTTTTATTTATTCTTTTGAGAGAAAACTGATCTAAGATGTAGAATATATCTGTAAGAATAATTTTTTTTAATAAAGAAGGAAAGAATAGAGAAGGAATTTTCATCCATGTCATTCATTTCATGTCTGTGTCATCCATTTTACTTCTCTTGCAATATATTTTTTCTACATTTTCTTCAAATTCATAGCTCATGTGTTTCTTTTCATTCTTTCCATTATTTGTAGATATATTCTTTATCTTTATTTTAGAAATAAGTATAATTTTTGCAAATATTTTCACTGCCCCACTGTGACTCCCTCTTGTACCGTACCTCGTTTTAATCGCGCAGTCGCAAATGTAGAGACCGAAGAGCGATCATTACTCATCAAAAAAAAAATTCAGTGTACCACGGTGTACATGTATACGCGAATATATATATATATATATATATATGTGTGTAGATATGTATGGATTTATCATTGTGATTTTGCACTTGGTATTGACGAACACATTTAACAAATTTTACTTTCATTCTAAATATTGAACGATATGCGATGTCAATAGTTCATTCCGGAACTCGTAATGCTTTAATTTCAAGATTGTAATGATTATCGGGCCGCTCGGTAAACATTTATTTTATTTTAACGAGCTACCAGACTTATATTTTTTATCTTTATTGAATGTTTATTAATAACTATAAAATAGCTATTTTACGTTAAACGCTTCGTTTACGCTTCGACGTTTCAATTTACGCTTCTTAGGAGCTTCGTTTACGCTTCTATTACACTTCCTTACATTCGGCTTACGCTCTGAATATTCATTTTCGCTAGGGTATGTGTAAAAAATTATAAAAACAACGTCTGTCACCTGTTGCATACATCTTTTATCACGTTTGACACGAATGATGGTGTTTTAATTATTGTTCCGTCTCAACACTAAGTATTTGGAATCGACACGGAAAATACGAATTACCTAATTGAATGGAATTTGAACTCTTCGCATTCGGAGAGAGGAATAGAAGGGATGAGTTAATTATATGAGAAATAGTAGGCAAACTAAGTCCGAGTCGAACATTATGCAGAGTCAGTGGAATTATTAAAGTGTATACATCATAATAAAATTCTCATATTCATCAGAATCTTTGTGTAAGTGTCGATAGTGATACACATGTTAATCATTGATTGATGGATAATTAATAATTATTAATTATAAATGCGATATGTTGATGCTCCCTAAAATAATTTAATTTTATTGTAGATGATTGTAGGTGTGTACACAGAAAGTTTCTCACTGCAATGATTATTAGTGTTCTACGTAGTGTTTTCGCAGGAAGGCAAATTAATATGCATGCACCATCACAACTATTGAAGTGTAATCAATATTTGGTAGTATATTCTTTTATCTGGAATTATGATAATAATGACGTTATAAATATACTAATCACTCAATATACTAATTATTTCTATTTCTTACTTATATAAATATATGTCAATATATTTACTATTTTTTTCAGGGTATTGGACGATTGACACGTATGTTGTCTTCCCATCATGTTTCAAAGAATATTGAATTCATTACACAAGATAATCGTGTTGTATCATCTAAAAATGTTATACAGAATATAAATGTGGCAAACAATCGTCCATTGCTAGTTATTCTTACTTGGTTATTATCTAAACGACAGCATGTTATGAAGTTTGTTAACTTGTATATGGAACAAGGTTTTGATGTGGCAGTAGTATCTCTTACACCTTGGCAACTTATGTGGCCCACAAAAGGCTCCAGAGTAAGTATATACAATATAATTGTGTTACAATCTATTTATTACAAAATTTCTAAAATTTATTTTCAGTTAGTCGCAGCAGATTTGTTAACTTTCTTAAAGCAAAATGAAAGTTATCAACAAATTCTATTACACGGGTTTTCAGTGGGTGGCTATATGTGGGGAGAAGCTTTGGATTTGATGGAAAGTAACAAGGAAAAATACAGTGGCATTGTAGATAGAATTGTTGGACAAGTATGGGACAGTATAGCTGATGTCAGAGAAATTCCAATAGGTCTCCCTCATGCAGTATTTCCAAAAAATGTAATGCTGCAATCCATGTTTCGAAAATATATAGAGTAAGTAACAAAGAAAAAAAATGAGGAAGATTGATGAAACGAGAAATAACTTGTTTTAATTAATACAAAATAATATTATCAGATATCATATGAAGACATTCTATCAACAAGCAACACAACATTATATTCGATCCAGTCAAGTATTTCATTCTGCCAGTATACGTGTACCAGCGTTATTTTTTGTAAGTAGAAGTGATCCTATTGGGACTGTATCCAGCAATTTGACTTTACGTGATGATTGGGAATCTGCAGGAATAAAGGTAAGATTTACATTTGCTGATTTATGAGAGGATTATAAAGGAAATATTATATGTATTTATCTTGCAGACCTATGTGAAGATATTCGAAGAGTCGCCGCACGTTGCCCACTTCTACACATATCCAAAGGAATACGTCGCTGAACTTTATGCTTTTTTACAAAAACTAAACTTGATACAAAATGAAGAAAAAATTAGATCGCACCTTTAATTATTTTAAAGATTCTTTTGATATGAATCTTTCAATTGTGTATTTTTTATATAAAACTATCTTTTTGGTAATGTTACACACCAGACATTTGTAATATCCAATATATACCATATACATATATATAGTACATACAATGAATAATTTTTTATATATTTTACAAATATATATATATATATATATATATATATATATATTTAATATACATATAATAAATTATATATAATTTATTAAGAGAGAGTTTACATAAAGAAACGTGTTCAAAAGTATTTAAAAAAAAACTTATCTTGACCATATTTCTACAAGTTTAAAACTGCCTGTCGTAAAGAATTATATAATAAATGTGCATTATTACTTATAATTATTTAGTAGAAAATATTTTAAATGCAAAATTTAAAATATTCTCTATAAATATGTATTATGGTTTTCTTTGTGAATAAAACAAGATATATTGAAGAAGATATATTTTAGATATATATTAAAGATAATAATATAGTTTAAAACTATATTTATTAGTGTATTGTATACATATTATGAATAGGCATTGTGTTATATATATATATATATATATATATATATATATATATATATATTTTACATCACACAATTTGATTATATACATATGTTATATATAGTTTTATTTGATATTAAAATTATTTGTTTCAATTTTTTCTTTCAGTTTTAGCTTTTTACATTTCTTTTTCTTTTGTTCCTCTAAAAGTTCTTCTATCTCATCCGGATCTTTACCTTCTAAAATTAATTTTTTCCGTTTATTGATCATTTTCTTTTCATAAAAATCGGTCTCATCCAGCCTAATCTCCGCTTCTCGTTTCGCCACTGATATTTGTGTCAAGATTGTAACAATTTCCTTATCTAAAATTCATTAAAAGGCGATCAGATTATTGTAAATTTTAATTATTTGACAAAGAGAAATGAGAAGTATATACTCACCATCTACCTTATATTCTGTTAATTTAGTACCTATGGTGTCTTCAATCATATGTAATAATTTAATATCATTTGGAGTTATCAAGCTAATCGCCATCCCATTTCTACCCGCGCGAGCTGTTCTACCAACTCTATGAATGTATTCCTTTGGTACATTTGGTATAATATGATTAACGATTAATTCTACTGTCGGGATATCTAAACCTCTTGCTGCGACATCAGTGGCAATTAAAATCTGTACATGATTTGACTTGAATTTACTTAGTGCTGCTAAACGTTCCTTCTGCTTTATCATTGCATGAAGAGCCATATTTGTAAATCCAACATCATTCAGCATCATCGATAATAATTGACAGTGCCTAAATAGAATTATATAACTAAGTTTGAATTTACAAATGATTTTTAACATCTTCTCTTTATATATAAGAAAAATAATTGTTATACTTGCAAGTATCCGTAAATATCATAATAGAACCATTCTTATTTGTAGCACGAAATGTCCTAATTACTTCTACTAGAAATGAATCAAGTACATCTTTAGGACATAATACATAACGTTGATCCAATTCCCTTACAGTAGCAATACCAGCATCATCTTCTTCTTCCCATATGAAAACCTTGAATAAAAATTGCAACTTTTGCTTTTTCTGTAATTTAATATAATTATAATCACATTATTAAATGATCATACCTTACTAGAGGCTATTTGCTTTACTTTATCAAGAGCATCTGTCATTGTAGCACTAAATAGTAACACTTGTTTCTGTTTAGGTACTGCGGCAAATATTTTCTTCAGTTGTTTATCAAAATGACCACCCAGCAATCTATCTGCTTCATCTAATACTAGGAATTTGATTTTTTGCAAGGAAAACGTATCACAGCTATCCAAATGATCTGCTAGTCTACCTGGTGTAGCTACAACTATGTGTGGCCGTTTTGACAATTCCAATCCTTGCACCATCATATCCATACCACCAACAACTACACATTTCTTCAAATTGATTGCCTTGCCAATGGCAGCAAATTGATCAGCAATCTAAAATAAATATCATTAGATACTATAACAAAATTATATAATAAAATTATATAATTATATTAATTGCAAATATATCTCATACAAATGTGTTCTGTTAACTACAAAATCTTCCAAAGAGAAATTGAAAAAACTAAAATAATTATCTTACTTGAAAGGCTAATTCCCTTGTTGGTGTTAACACAAGAGCAAATATACCGTATGGATCTTCGCACAATTTTTGTAAAATAGGCAAAGCAAATGCAAGAGTCTTGCCACTACCTGTTTTGGCACACCCTATACAATCTTCGCCTGCTAATATTCGAGGAATGCAATTCTGCTGAATGAGAGTGGGATTTTTTAAACCTGAAATAAATAATATAAAACAACTGTAATTAAATTATAAAATGGCAATTTTTTAATAGCTCTTAAGCTCTAAAGTATTATAAATATTTTACTTTATAATAGAAACAATTCTCCATAAATTATGTTGATAAAAAAGTTATTTACCCATCGTATCGCATTGTGCAAGGAGCCAGGAATTCAATTTTAAATCCGAGAAATCTTTAATTTCATTCATTCTGTCGAATATAAATTATCGCATGGTATACATTCACTCGTCGCATTCAAAAATTCTATTTATTAGGTTAGAACATTGACGTAAGAAATACTGGACAGAGTGTATTGCTGCGGGGGTGAAGCTCAAAGGGTGAGGGGAAAGAAATGTCTACTGCAACGGAATATGAGGTATGTAAGATGGCGACGGATATTAATTTCACGGAGTGTGATATTTTTGAATTTCTTAATATTCAAAAATGATTCGGAATAACACAGCGATTTCAGATGATAGATGATTTCACGGAATCTCTATTTTATTTGATTTACGTCCGTGCGACGTGAAAATAGACGCTAAATCTGATGCATCTAAGATGGCCGCGACAATAAACCCCCTTACCCCTCAGATTTCACTCCCCTCGTCTAAAAGAGTACTTTATGCTCTGTCCAGTATTTCTTACGTCCATGGGTTAAGGCTATAGCACACACTTTCCATAAGCATGACAGTAAGGTTTCGACCAATTGCGTTGCTCAATTTGGCCGTCCGTAACCAAATTGAGCAACGTGATTGGTCGAAACCTTATTGTTATGTCTTATGGAAAGTGTGTGCTATAGCCTTTAGAATCACATTCTTCTTTTTGCCGCTACTTCTCCCACCATTAAAGGCTTTCGCATATGAATTGCCATAACCATAAACGTAAAACGTAAACGTAATGGCCTATCCAGACAAACTTGCATAGGTGCATATGCATACATAAGACCATATGGACCAATGAGCATCGAGTATTATGTTATGTAAGTCAATATAGCGATTTAATACTCGATGCTCATTGGTCCATATAGTCTTATGTTATGCATATGCACCTATGCAAGTTTGTCTGGATAGGCCCTTATGCAAAACGCGTTAGGTTGATGGCAGAGAACTAAACGTGAGCGCTTACGTCTGTCGTAGTCGTGGACGTAAAGTAAGGGCCATAGCACATAGCATGGCGTAATGGTCTTAAAAGTCTTAAGACGTAGACGTAAGTCAATGCACAAGCTTTGGCGTATGTGGTAATGTCGTGCAACAAATAGACAATACGTGAATTGAAAAAGCATTGAAAGTAAGTAAATGATCTAATCATTTTTAAGTTTTTATTAATAAAGAATAATATTATAATTATATATAATCATCCTGAAATTAAATAATGCAATTTTTATTCGTTCTTCAAGTATATGATAATAGTGAAATGAAAATATCTATTTTGATCACATGATATATAATATTCTAGGTTAGTTGCAATTTGATTACAATTTTGATTACAAGATATATATTTTAGGTTAGCTATAATTTTATATATCATGTAATCAAAATAGATATTTTCATTTCACTATTATCATACTTGAAGAACGAATAAAAATTGCATTATTTAATTTCAGGATGATTATATATAATTATAATATTATTCTTTATTAATAAAAACTTAAAAATGATTAGATCATTTACTTATTTTCAATGCTTTTTCAATTCACGTATTGTCTATTTGTTGCATAACATTACCACATACGCCAAAGCTTGTGCGTTGACTTACGTCTACGTCTTAAGACTTTTAAGACCATTACGCCATGCTATGTGCTATGGCCCTTACGTCCATGAGTCTTACGCCTTACAACCTTATGTTGCGGCCATTGTAGAATGGCCTTAAGAGATTGACCAATCACAGTCAATTATGAAGAGAATACTCGACTGTGATTGGTCAATTTCTTAAGGCTTAGGGCTTAAATTATCTATTGTAGACCCGGCCTTAAGGCGTTACGGCAATGTTTGTGCCCTGGCCCTAAAGCGGCCTTTTCATTGACGCTACTTTTTAGCGTCAATGAAATTGCACCTTAAGTTGACCGTTTATATAGCCTATGTTCCAAAATTCACTGCCAGCGCTGAAAATATATAATATACGTAACGTGAACTATAGATTTTCAGCGCTGGCAGTGAATTTTGGAACACGCTCATAGTCTGTGTTGTATGGCTTTGAGCTAATGCCTGCTTTTTGATTAATGAAAAAAAAAAAGAAACGGGATAGCCGTTCTCATGTTTCTCTCTGATATGACTTTAGGGAAATGTGATAAAAAATATTATAAGTATGTATATAAATTATATATATATATATATATATATACATATATATAAATTAAAAGATTAAAAATTTTTTTTAGATCAGAAAGAGATAATGAGATGTATAAAGTTGGAACCTCGATGACAAATGTGTTTCGATTGAAAAGTTATGTATGTACATATATATGTCAGTTTAAAAAAGAGTCAACATGATAGAAATCACGGCGAAACTCATTCGAGGTTCTATATATTTCTCCGGTGAAATTATAGAATGTTTGGTGACATTTACTAATCCTCCAAATCCGAATCATCAAATATCACAAAGTCACAGGTACAGTATATTTGTTATACATATGTTGTCTCAATAATATAATAAACTACATTTATAATAAATTACAATATAATAAATTACATTTATAAAATTAATTTATGATCTCTTATAGTGATTTGTTTGAAAGTTTGGCATGGGCAAGCGCACAGGTACATTGCCAGTGTACAACGAATAATAAAATAGTACTTTCAGAGAAGTTAAATACTACAGCTCGTTCAGTGGCAATCAACGCAAGTAAGAATTCAGAACAATTATTTTAATATTTTCTTAGAATCTTTTCTTGTTTTTCCATTAATTATGTATATTTATTTTCATTTTGTTGTAGATACTACCTTTGCACCATGGCAGCAAGACAATGGTCATGTAGTACTAAATACAAAACCAAAAATTTTATGCTGCGATTTAAAGCTGTCACCTGGGGAAAGTAAGACCTGTAAGTTTACTAGTAATTTTAATTAAGAATATATATCTAAGTATTTTTGTTTAATAATTTTTGTATATTGATTTATTAATTAATTAAAATTTTTTTATTAGATTTTTATCGCGAAACAATACCAAGTGATGCTCCACCTTCATATAAAGGACAGGCTGTAAAATATTCCTACAAAATAACAATTGGAACGCAAAGAGTGAATACTGTTATAAAACTATTACGAGTACCATTTAGAGTACTATCTTTAAGTGGTAATAAATGTTTGGAAGATTATAAAAAATATAAGACATCTATTATTTTTTTTAAATAAAATAATTTATATAATTTATACAATTTGTGTATTTACAGAATTGCCAGAGATTACAGCGTGCAATGATAGTGTAGATTTGAGTCCCAATAATCCATTTATGGAAACACAACACAGAGAAACTCCATTAGATATTGCGCTACAAACACTGCAGGTTGTATACTTTTCTTTATTGCATTTGAATTAGATTTAAGAGTTTTACATAGCTTTTTAATGTCATATCTTTTTATGATATTTTAGAATTTAACAGCTAGACGCAGTCCAAACTTTTATAATGTGACAAACGGTCGCGGGCGCGTAGTGCGATTCTGTCTCTTTAAAAATTCCTACAAACTTGGCGAGGACATAGTTGGAACCTTTGACTTCTCGAATGCGACCGTCTCCTGCGTTCAGGTATCTGTATCCTTACAGTCGGAAGAACATGTATCGGAAAAGTACAAACGAGGCAAGGTCACCACGCCAACATTGATTAGCTACAACAAGCATCATGAAATGTGTCTGGGTCTGAAATACTCGCACTTGGTGCTACCAATACCTCTTCATGTTACGCCAGATTTTACCACCGATCTAGTGATGCTCAAATGGCGGTTGCATTTCGAGTTTGTCACGACGCCAAAGCTAGTAGAAATGCCCAACGAGAACACCATCAGCTGGCACGGACCATCGACTTTGGATGTCGAGACGATGATTTGGGATCTTCCATTGCACATCCACCCGACCACCACGCCGCCGAACACGGCGCAACAGACGAAATACAATACTGACATATAACTAATAATATAGCATAATATACGTGTTTGGTATATGTTCGATTATAAATGAACGCGAATTATCGCTACTCTAATATACAGCTAATGCGTGTGTTGTAAAGTTAACGTAGGAAAGAATAAGAAATTCGTTTTTCTCTGGCGACTCTTGCGCTATACTGTTATTCTTCACTTTATCATACTTTAGAAAATGTATATTTTGCATGATAATTTATTGTACACAAGAGATATATTTTCGTATATTTATGTGTTTGGATAAGAGAAGTTGTATAATGAAAGAATATGTTAGAATCATTTTTGAGAGCATACTTTTACATCTCTGTGTGATAAGTTTTGTAATTATATTCTTTTCTACACACACACACATACACACACACACACACACACACACACACACACACACATATGTATATACATATATATATATATATATATATATATATATATATATATATGTATATACATACAGGGTATCCCAAAAGTCCCGGACCGGTCGAATATTTCATAAACTATACACTTTAGAAAGAAATGTTTCAGACAAAAGTTGTATGGCTTGAAGGGGGCCATCAGATAGTGGCAATGATTTGACATGGGAGAGTCATTTGAAAGTCACGTGAAGATCACCGTCAATTTCTTAAATGGAACCCCTTATTTTTATTACATATTTGTATAGCCTTTCTCGAGAGCTTTCCAAAACACTATAATAAAGTATTTCATCATTGAGTACTTTTCGAGTTATGAGGCTTGAAATTATTTCTTAATTTTGCAATAAAAAATAGGGGGTTCCATTTAAGAAATTGAAGGTAATGTCACCTTCAAATGACTCTCCTATGTCAAATCATTGCCACTATCTGATGGCCCCCTTCAAACCATACAACTTTTGTCTGAAACATTTATTTCTAAAGTGCATAGTTTATGAAATATTTGACCGGTCCGGGACTTTTGGGACATCCTGTATATCTTACACAATAATGCTTTGGATTACTGTGTATTAAATTCCTAATGCGCTTTTACTCGGAGTAATAGTTTCTCGGGAGATTAATGACTTTGTAGGAATGATATATTACAGCAACGAAGAAAAATAGACAGACTGGTTTAATCTCTATAAATAAGGCACTCGTATAAATTTTCCTTTTTACATGATTCATGAGATTATTTTCTTTTTGATTGTGTCTTTCGATGTTTTTTTAGCAATCTTATCGTTTTTTCTATTTTTCTCTTGAAAACCTAAATGCATTATTTCGTTTATAAAGCGAATAAAAAGGTGCAACAAGGATAGATCTTATAACAAAATGATAGAAATTTATTTCGTATAGCTTTCTTTTCTTCTTCAAAGAGTCAATCAATTTCTCGAAAGAGACAACATTAATGACGCGCTTCATAAGGAAACTGTCGATCGTCCTGATCGACTGGCAGTCTCGACTGCAGGGGTGGCACCAAGGTTGGTGGCGACGGGGTGGCGAAAGGTGCGTGATAATCGTATCGGTAGTAAGCTAGGGACTCCCATCGGCCCGGATGCTGCACTTCGTAGGACGTCGGTGGGCCCAGGGAGGAAGTCGCGTAATAGCCGCCCCCGGGTCGATCGGGTACGCTGGGCATAGGATAGCTGTACTGCGGCTCTAGCAGACTCTGCAGATGCCTGATGTACGTGATGGCGTGGCGTAAAGACTCTATTTTGGAGAGTTTCTTACCGGGCGGCTTGCAGATCGGTAGCTTCGATCGTAACAGCTCAAAAGCGCGGTTCATGTCGCGCATGCGGGTGCGCTCGCGATCACATGCCGACTTCTTGTAGTCTGAAATCGTTAATTACCGAGAGTTAATGACTGTTCTTGCTCCTGGACTGGTATACGCGCCACTCGTCGTTGTCGCGCGACAACGACTTACCGGAATGATTGAATGAATCGGCTGTTTTTTTGACCAGCTGAAATCGAACTTTTTAGAAAAACAGAGTACTGATGAATTATATGCATATATAAATCTATATTAATTAATAATAAATATGAATTATATAAATTCTTGATACACACGGGAAGTGAAGAGAGATTCTATAAAAATGAGCAAGAGGTTTTTCTCTAAATTATATAAGTAACTGAATTTTTACCGATTAATTATTATTAAGAAAACTAATTTTTGCAGTTTTTGCCGATTAATTATTATTGAGAAAAATTTTTTAATGTTTCAAGAATGGGTCATTAAAATATATAGGATGTCGCAGATTATCCGTATCAGCCGAATACCTCAAGAACTGAGCGCGGCAGATAAAAATATTTCAGATAAAAGTTGTAAGATTTCAGCATTACGGCGATATCAGTATGATCTTGAAGAGTATTGTCATGGTCACGTAAAGATCACCTTGAATTCTGTAAGTGGAAACCCCAATTTTTTATTGCATATTCTTGTAGCTTATCTCGAGAGCTTTCCAAAGCACTATAATTAAGTTAGTTTTCATTAAGTACTTTCCGAGTTATGAGGTTTGAAATCATTTCTTAATTTTACATAAACTGTAAAATATCTTGTAAAATATTCATTTTTCGATTATTTTACTTTAATATTTTTAAGTACAAAATAATGAGAGGAATCAATTGGTGTAAAGAAAACACATAATTGTTTCGAAAAAAAATGTAATTGTTAATTGCAAATTACATTTTCTTTTGGAAACAATTATGTGTTTTCTTTACCAATTGATTCCTCTCATTATTTTGTACATAAAAGTATTAAGGTAAGATAATAAAAAAATGAGTATTTTACTAGATATTTTATGATTTATGTAAAATTGAAAAATTATTTCAAGCCTCATAACTCGGAAAGTACTCAATGAAAGTACTCAATGAAAAAATACTTTATTATAGTGTTTTTAGAAAGCCTCTCGAGAGCTGCAAGAATATATGATGAGCTGCAATAAAAAGTTGGCGGTTCCATTAAAAAAATTGAAGGTGACCTTTGTGTGACCTTGATAACACTCTTCATACTAATATCGCTATGTAATGCGTTATTTGAAACCTTACAACTTTTGTCTGAATTATTTTTGTCTGCCGCGCTCAATTTTTGAAATATTCGGCTGATACGGGTGATCTGCGACACCCTATATGTATAATAACATTTATAAATTATTTAATGTTTTTCTCGATTAATTATCACTGAGAAAAATTTTAGTTTAAAATGAGCTTAAAGAATTTCTTATTCAAATTGTTGTGTAACAATATTTATATATATCAAAAAAATATCCGATAAAACGTAGTACAATGCTCGATACAAAATTAATATGAAATCAATTCATAATTTGAGAGACATTCCTGTTGTGAAAACAAAAAAGAGACTAATATGATTAAAGCACAATTATGTATATAAATTTTGAGTATTTATCTTATAAAATGCCCAAGAAAAACAGGCTGAAAAATAGACCATAATATAAGAAATTTTACTACTTATTTTTGGAAGGAAACACGGAGTTTAAAAAGAAAATCGAAAAATATTAAAAATGACAAATATAAGAACAAGCCGCAAAGGTTAGAACCGATTAAAAGAGAGCAATATATGTATTATTTAAATATGCATTAAATAGAAGAGTGAATAAGAAAGACTAAATATTTATGCGAAACATATGAAATTTTATAGCTCGTAACTTGTATATCGCATGTTAATTTTATAACTTATTGTATATTTAATATGTAATTTTAATATGTAATAGTTTGTAATGTATATGATTATTATGCATATGATCATTTATAGCGTATCAAACACGATGTGTCTCACAAAAAAATTATCTTACATTAGAATTTAAACAACCGCGATCAAGATAATTATTTTTTAGCATTACGATTCTCCCATTAGGTTTTGCTACTAAGTTATTTGCATTATTCATTTCTTAAACATTCTTAGACAACATTTTTAAATTGAATTGTCAATTAATTGAGGCTACGGAAACCAATATGACATTTAATTAGATGACATTTGTATTTTAAATAGCTTGATTACATTTCATTTATAAAAATAAATATATATCTGTAATAACGTAACGATCTGTTTCTAAGTTTTCGGGGATACAATTGAATCAAGGTAGAGTTCCAAAAAAGTACGATAATCTGTCGAGAAGTAATTCATCGAGGAGATGTTGCGACACACGAGATAAACGAGATAATAATGTGGAATAATATGTTTTGCATATATCGAAAGGAATACGACTGAATGAAGTGCGGTATTTTCGATTACCCTTGCCGCATATGCGCAAGAAGATGACGATGATACGAGTGATACCACAAGTCCCAGATTCGGAACCAGGTCGTTTTCGCGCGGTTCAGGTTGCTACAAATCTGAATCCTGCATGCAGAACTACTCGAGATCGCGGCAAGACGATAGAATCTAGACAAAGCTCGGTCGAAATAGCACTTGTGACGTCTTGCCACGCCTTCGAAGACGTCGATCAAAGTAAGAAGTAAGAATTAAACAACGATAAAGAGCATATATGTATATTTTTTTCCCGATCGTCCAACAAATTCGAGGATTAAGTGCAAAAATACTCGTCGAATCAATTCCCACGTATTTATTACACAGGCCTGTGAGGCTTTTTTTTCTAAGATACAATAGTGATTTCCGACGTAATTTTGTGAGCTGAATTCGAATCTGGCCGCCGAATTTGCGTAGCACGTTACGTTTTTGAGTAATTTGTAACTGAATGGCTCAAAAATCGCTATTTTGACCAATTTCATGAATTTATTGCGAGGAAACCAAATTTTTTGAAATATTTCTGTCAATGGCATCGTATAATACTCACTTTCGCCTTTCAAATCCCCTTTCGATTACCGCTGCACGATTTTTTTTCGCTGAGATATATAAGTATGACGTAAGAAAATTTACGTTAAAGAAAATTTATATAGACATCAATATGATAGATCCATGATCTTGAAATTTGAAAGGAATGACATATGCAGGTTCGGTTGGCCAAAAAAATATTGTAAAGAAATATCTAATACAGTTGTTACACATTTTGATAAATTTTTCTAAATTTTATGCCTTTTTATTGTGATTCTATTCGCCATATTGGATGCGTCATTTTTAATTTCAAAAGGTGACAGAAGGTATTTAAAAATGTATATTTTTACCCTTATTTTGATTCATAGTGAGATAGAGAAGTGGCACGGTTGATTTAGAAAAGCTTATTAAATCCCTATGCATGTCCAGTCTTATAATTCGTATATCTGAGCGAAAAAAAATCGTGCGGCGGGGTAATCGAAAGATGAAAGTGAGTACTATACCATTGACATAAATATTTCAAAAAATTTGGTTTACTCACAATAAATTCATAAAATTGGCCAAAATAGCGATTTTTGGGCTATTCAACTACAAATAACTCAAAAACCTGACGTGCTACGCGAATTCGGCGGCCAGATTCAGATTCAGCGCACAAAATTACGTCAAAAATCACTATTGCATCTTAAAAAGAAATTTTGACCCCCTTTTTTGAAGGCCTATGTTATTTGTTATGATTGATTTCTATGACATAGATAAAATGAGAAAATTTGGTGACTCAATTTATTGATAATACAAAAGAAATATTTATCTTTAATATTGAAAAAAATTATATTTTTTTGTATTGCTCAAAATAGGTTTACAGACATTGATTTAATATATAAATTTGAAGTAAACTAGTATACGAGATGAAATCCTATGTAAACAAAAAACATAAAAAAATGTATATTACATAAATTTATATGAAGCATGATAGATAAATTCATAATATTCTACCCATATTTCGAAGATAAGGAGGAATATCAAGATATTTGCTTAGAAACCGAAGTTATTGAGTCTCCTAGCGATCTATTATTTTCGACGCAGCAAGAGGACATTTCGACGATTATTAAAAATGATTCCGGAAAATCTACAAAATTTTCTCAAGAGGAAAACGACCATTGTCAGCAAACCGTACGCGGGATTGTGCGTAACGAGACATTGCGGGGTCACGTGGAACGTAGCTATGAGAGCGTCGACCGGAAACAAAGCTGCGACGATCGCATTGTCGAGGTCGAGAAGAAAGAGGAGAGATGTAGCAGTTGGTGGAAGGATGGCGGGCAAACAATTTTACATTTCTTCGCCAAGATCCTGGGGAAACGCGCAGGAATGGACGCTAAGGGACCGGCGGATCGTGTTTCGCCTATCAGCAAGCATGTCAAGCGCGTCTCGAGGGGCGATAAAAACCATAACAGACACAGGAGAGGCATCGATGGGGGTATACGCTTGAAGAGAGTCAACAACGGCTACATTGTCCCGAATCACGTATATAGGTATAGATTTTTACAGAATATACAGGGTGTCCCATTTTAATGTCCCATCCCAAATAACTTTCTTATTTTTAATTTTAGAAAAAGATGTTTCAGACAAAAGTTGTATGGTTTGTAGGGAGACATAAGATGGTGCCATTATTTTGATCTTGAAGAGTCACATGAAGGTTACATGAAGATCATTTTGAATTTCTTAAATAGAACACCCTATATATTTTTGCATATTCTTGTAGCTTATCTCGTGAGCTTTCCAAAACACTATAAATAAGCATTTTTTCATCAAGTACTTTTCGAGTTATGAGGCTTGAAATCATTTCTTAATTTTACATAAAACATAAAATATCTTGTAAAATATTCATTTTTTGATTATCTTACCTTAATACTTTTATGTACAAAATAATGAGAGGAATCAATTGGTGTAAAGAAAACATACAGTTGTTTTTAAGAAAAAAACATGGAATTGTTAATTGCAAATTACATATTTTTTCTTAAAAGCAACTGTATGTTTTCTTTACACCAATTGATTTTTCTCATTATTTTGTACATAAAAGATTTAAGGTAAGAAAATTAAAAAATGAATATTTTACAAGATATTTTACGGTTTATGTAAAATTAAGAAATTATTTCAAGCCTCATAACTCGAAAAGTACTTGATGAAAAAATGTTTATTTATAGCGTTTTGGAAAGCTCTCGAGATAAGCTACAAGAATATACAAATATAGGGTGTTCTATTTAAGAAATTCAAAATGACCTTCACATAACCTTCAGGTGACTCTTCAAGATCAAACTAATGACATCATCTTATGTCCCCCTAGAAACCATACAACTTTTGTCTGAAACATCTTTTTCTAAAATTAAAAATAAGAAAGTTATTTGGGGTGGGACATTAAAATGGGACACCCTATATAATAACGCTCTCTACTATTTAGTAACATGTGACAATAATACATCTGAAAGAATTTATAATTTGATTTAAAGAATCTCTCACCCTTAACGCGGAAATAGGATACTATGCGCTCTAATCTTTTGTTTTTATTAAAAGTATCGCGATTTTTTGCAAACGTCTCAATTTTAGAAGCTTGAACATACATGTGAATGTAATTTAAAAATGATGCGTAAAAATGTGCAGCATCAGAAATTGAGCGCAGTCGTGATGCGAAAATGGCTCGCCTTTTTCCCGAAATACACGTTTCACTCGAATTGATATTCATGCGCCCACCATATCGTATTCGCAGGAACGAAAGAAGCCGACAGGTCATGGAAGATAAGCCGCGCGAAGAACAGCATCATCCATCGATTTTCGTGCGACAGATACAACGGACTCGTGACAAAAATCTACGTATCATGTTGCTGGAGCGGGAACTACGCATACGTTCATCTAAGAAAGACATACAGTTAACTGCGAACAGCGTTAACATCAAACAATTAAGCAGTCCTCTCTGTTGAATCCTCTCTTGCTATAGGAAAAACTGAAACTCGCTGAAAGAACTCTTCGTTTATTATAGATAACACAGGCCTGCGAGGTTTTTTTTTTAAAGATGCAATAGTGATTTCCGACGTAATTTTGTGAGCTAAATTCGAATCTGACCGCCGAATTTGCGTAGCACATCACGTTTTTGAGTAATTTGTAATTGAATAGCTCAAAAATCGCTATTTTGGCCAACTTCATGAATTTATTGCGAGGAAACCAAATTTTTTGAAATATTTCTGTTAATGGCATCGTATAATACTCACTTTCGCCTTTCAAATCCACTTTTCATTACCGCCGCACGATTTTTCTTCGCTGAGATATATAAGTATGGCGTTATAAGAAAATTTACGTTAAAGAAAATTTATATAGACATCAATATGGTAGATCCATGATCTTGAAATTTGAAAGGAATGACATATGCAGGTTCGGTTGGCCAAAAAAATATTGTAAAGAAATATCTAATACAGTTGTTACACATTTTGATAAATTTTTCTAAATTTTATGCCTTTTTATTGTGATTCTATTCGCCATATTAGATGCGTCATTTTTATTTTCAAAAGGTGACAGAAAGTATTTAAAAATGTATATTTTTACCCTAATTTTGATTCGTAGTGAAATAAAGGGATAGCACGGTTGATTTAGAAAGGCTTATTAAATCCCTATGCATGACCAGTCTTATAACTTGTATATCTGAGCGAAAAAAAATCGTGCGGCGGGGTAATCGAAAGTGGATTCGAAAGATGAAAGTGAGTACTATACGATGCCATTGACAGAAATATTTCAAAAAAACTCACAATAAATTCATGAAATTGTCCAAAATAGCGATTTTTGGGCTATTCAACTACAAATAACTCAAAAACCTGACGTGCTACGCAAATTCGGCGGCCAGATTCAGATTCAGCGCACAAAATTACATCAAAAATCACATTACATCTTAAAAAGAAATTTTGATCCCCTTTTTTGCAGGCCTGTGTAATTTGAATTGATTTGTGTCACCTCGGTTTCTTTCGGAAATTGAAAAGCGTATCTAGCATGTTAAAATTATTTTCAATATCACGCGCATTTCTCTAGGACGTATAAATTAGAGTTCAATCATGGATGTGACCTCACCAGGCGATGCGCAATTTGACATTGCCGCACCTTTCTCAGTCTGCGATGGCTCTCGTTGCACCGATTTGATGTTGGCTTCGTGGAGCATCTCGAGATGCGAGTGTCCGCCGATTATTTCCGGTTCCGGTACTCTAATCATAAGCACTCTCTCTCCCTCGGAAGTTTGTTCGTCGCGCGACTCGTAACTCGTTTCTTGCCATCTGCTTCTTGCAGACTGTGAACGCGTAGTTTCTTCTATGGAAAACGATACTCAGATAATGAGACGATTTCACTCACTATTAATTATATATGAATAATAACACCTTATTCGAATTATAATGGTAAGTTGAAAAAGTCCTTAGTGTCCATTCAAATTGATTTTTTTATATAATAAAAAAATGCATTAAAAAGCTGATTAATTGGTGACATCGATAATGATCGAGAATCGTTTAACTCATACGTAATACATAGATAATTTTCCGATATACTTTTGACGTCAAGAGAGTTCAAGATAATCCACGCACCTGGAATTAATCCTTGATCCTGTTGATTTACTGTGGAACTCGATGAGCTCACTTCCCGACTTGCAGCTTTTCGTTGCTGCTGCTTCGAGTTCTCGTCCAGGTCGAGCAACACCGGCGAGCGCGTGTAATCCTCCTCGTTACTCTCGTTCTCGGACTGGAACATAAGTTAGCGTCTTTTTTTTGCACAGACAGGTTCGAACAACAAATTCTAGAGCAGCGCGATTTTTCGATGAGCCGATTCTCTTTCTTCTTCCTCCATATGTTTAAATAAAAAAAAATAAAATAAAATATACAAATCATACAGAAAATTGAACAATAGATATCGCATTCAAAATATAATGCATTGCTTTGAAAAATTTAATTCGAAAGAAAAAGTACAAAGAGTAATATTTTATATTACATTTTTTTCATTTTATCAGCGTTATACAGAGTGTCAGAAAAGTCCCGGACCGGTCGAATATTTCATAAACTATGTATTTTAGAAAGAAATGTTTTAAACAAAAGTTGTATGACTTGAAGGGAGCATCAGATAGTGGCAATGATTTGACAAATATGTAATTGTTAATTGCAAACTACATATTTTTTTTTAAAACAATTATGTGTTTTCTTTACACCAATTGATTCCTCTCATTATTTTGTACATAAAAGTATTAAGGTAAGATAATCGAAAAATGAATATTTTACTAGATATTTTATGGTTTATGCAAAATTAAGAAATGATTTCAAGCTTCATAATTCGAAAAGTATCCAATGAAGAAATACTTTATTATAGTGTTTTGGAAAGCTCTCGAGATAAGCTACACGAATATGTAATAAAAAATAGAAGGTTCCATTTAAGAAATTGATGGTGATCTTCACGTGACTTTCAAATATCTCTCCCATGTCAAATCATTGCCACTATCTGATGGCCCCTTTCAATCCATACAACTTTTGTTTGAAACATTTCTTTCTAAAGTGCATAGTTTATGAAATATTCGACCGGTCCGGAACTTTTGGGACACTCTATATATATTCATGGTATCGAACTTGCACAAAGTAAGGAAACGGCTATCGATCGAGTCATTGGGAAATATTTGCGATGATTGTGCAGCAAATTCCAGTTCTACCTCATTCTTTGCTGATTCGGCGCGATATTTGTCCAAATTTTGTTCCATCACAGGTATCCGGTCAAGCACAAATGACATCTCCTCGTTGATTCCGGTGTCATCCATCGACGCACCATAGAGAAACGATGTGGAAAACTGACGAGTCGCCTTTCTCATCGAAGTCTCGTAAGGCATATATCACGTGGGTCTAGCAACCGCGTTTGTTCTCGGATAAGATGTGGATCGACCACAGTCGTTTTATTAATGTTAATTTTATCCGTTTATTAAGTATTCAGGTGTTCCGCCAGGGGTTCTTATTTTACTGCGACCAGATCGCCTCGAGAAGAGAGATGTACCGAATAATCTTGTGTGCCCTTTTCGAATTATGATTCTAAATTGAAAAAGTCTCAACTTTCAAGTAAAACTAAAAGAAAGATTGAAAAATACTGTAGAAAATTATTGATACAGTAATAATACTAAGAAAATAAAGTAACGTGCTCGCGAAAATTGACGTTTCTATAAAATAACAACTATTATCTTGTGAAATACGTGTATATTGCGATAATTTTTTACATAATAAATTTTCATAATTATTGTAGAAAATATTTTTTGTATATAATTGATACAAAAAAATATTTTGTAGAATTTAGTCAACTTTTGATACAATATAGGAAAATTCGTATTTTTTATTTTTTATAGATCGATTGACGTTGATAAACTCTAAGGAAAGATTTTGTCAGAAATAACTGGCGCATATAATACTTTTATATTTTTTTTCCTAGATATAGTTTTTTGCTTTCAATTGTACGTATTTCTCAGAGAACTAAACTAGATATAATGGTGCCCGGGCATGAGTGTCTGTACCTGGTGCGTGATATTAGCATATGAGAGCCTCTGGGATGATCGGGATAAAAATGGGAGTACAAACATCGGAACATAATAGATGCCCGACCGATGGAAATACTAATGAAGTGGAACCGTGCAAGTATAACAGATCGTGTAAGAATGGCACATGTGGACGGAGATGCGACAGGAATTTTGAATATGATAAAAAAAAAAGACTCAAAAGCGCAAATTACATCACGCTTTCGCCACGGTTATGTGATAAATACGCACGATCGAATATCGTGAATATTTTCAAGTGATGAAGATTCATGACGATTCATATTACAAACCATATGGCTAATCATGTTGAATTCCCACAAAAAAGTAACTTGTTTGTACAGGTATTTAAAAAAATAAATGATTCTTTAACAGATAGTACCTAACAGATAGTTTTATTAAGAAATTCTTATTTAAAAAAATCACATATTGCATGACATTGTTGTATCGCGAAAATCATTCATACTCTGCATTGTATGTATGCACGAAAAAAAACTATATATTTACAATATATTCTTTATATTCAAAGCAGTTCTCAAAACCGTTATATGGTAATGTGATAAATACGCACGATCGAATATCGTGAATATTTTCAAGTGATGAAGATTCATGATGATTTATGGATATTACAAATCATATGGCTAATCATGTTGAATGCTCACAAAAAAGCAACTTGTTTGCACAGGTATTTAAAAAAATAAATGATTTTTTTAACTGATAGTACCTAACAGATAGTTTTATTAAGAAATTCTTATTTTAAAAAAATCACATATTGCATGACATTGTTGTACCGCGAAAATCATTCATACTCTGCATTGTATGTATGCTCGAAAAAAAACTATATATTTACAATATATTCTTTATATTCAAAGCAGTTCTCAAAACCGTTATATGGTAATGTGATAAATACGCACGATCGAATATCGTGAATATTTTCAAGTGATGAAGATTCATGACGATTTATGGATATTACAAATCATATGGCTAATCATGTTGAATGCTCACAAAAAAGCAACTTGTTTGCACAGGTATTTAAAAAAATAAATGATTTTTTTAACTGATAGTACCTAACAGATAGTTTTATTAAGAAATTCTTATTTTAAAAAAATCACATATTGCATGACATTGTTGTACCGCGAAAATCATTCATACTCTGCATTGTATGTATGCTCGAAAAAAAACTATATATTTACAATATATTCTTTATATTCAAAGCAGTTCTCAAAACCGTTATATGGTAATGTGATAAATACGCACGATCGAATATCGTGAATATTTTCAAGTGATGAAGATTCATGACGATTTATGGATATTACAAATCATATGGCTAATCATGTTGAATTCCCACAATAAAGCAACTTGTTTGCACAGGTATTTAAAAAAATAAATGACTTTTTTAACTGATAGTACCTAACAGATAGTTTTATTAAGAAATTCTTATTTAAAAAAAATCACATATTGCATGACATTGTTGTACCGCGAAAATCATTCATACTCTGCATTGTATGTATGCACGAAAAAAAACTATATATTCACAATATATTCTTTATATTCAAAGCAGTTTTTAAAACGGTTATATGGTTATGTGATAAATACACATGATCGAATATCGTGAATATTTTCAAGTGATGAAGATTCATATTACAAACCATATGGCTAATCATGTTGAATTCCCACAAAAAAGTAACTTGTTTGTACAGATATTTAAAAAAATAAATGATTCTTTAACAGATAGTACCTAACAGATAATTTTATTAAGAAATTCTTATTTTAAAAAATCACATATTGCATGACATTGTTGTATCGCGAAAATCATTCATACTCTGCATTGTATGTATGCACGAAAAATAAACTATATATTCACAATATATTCTTTATATTCAAAGCAGTTTTTAAAACGGTTATATGGTTATGTGATAAATACACATGATCGAATATCGTGAATATTTTCAAGTGATGAAGATTCATATTACAAACCATATGGCTAATCATGTTGAATTCCCACAAAAAAGTAACTTGTTTGTACAGATATTTAAAAAAATAAATGATTTTTTTAACTGATAGTACCTAACAGATAGTTTTATTAAGAAATTCTTATTTAAAAAAATCACATATTGCATGACATTGTTGTATCACGAAAATCATTCATACTTTGCAGTTGTATGTATGCACGAAAAAACACTATATATTCACAATATATTCTTTATATTCAAAGCAGTTCTCAAAATGCAAACTTTGTTTTGTTTTCTCCTCACCCGAATATCTTTGAACTTGCAAGTCGTGAAATTCTAGAAATAAACGATGACGTTGCAGAAGGTGCATCTAACGCATTTTGATGTGCATCTATATCTGTGAGAAAATAATATATAAATAGAACATTATACATATATATGTATATATATACACATACACACACACACACACACACACACACACACACACACACACACACACACACACACACACACACACACACACACACACACACACACACACACATATATATATATATATATATATATATATATATACACTTTCTCTCTCGAGAAATATTTGTGTTTTTTAAAATAAAAATACATATTGATACGAGATTATAAGAATCATGATTACCATAATTTAACGAATGGTTTTTTCTTCTGTAGAAAAAAGTTGTCAACGCTGTACGTAAATCTTTGTTGAAAGCAAAGTAAATCCAAGGGTTGACGCAACTCGTGAGACTATTTAGTAGACTTAGAATAGTGAAAGCAGCTCCTGCGGATTATAAGCATAATATGAGATAAAATTTAATGAATTTAAATCCTTAGAATTTAAGATGTTAGACCAAAAAAATATGGCATTGTTGCATTGCAACTTCTTGAAATTGTAAATTAACATTGTCAAATATTATGAAATTACATAAGTCAATCTATTACAATTTAGTTAAAGAATATCAATATGAATCGCCAAGTAATATACAAATGTATATAAATTTCTCTAATAATAATTTCTCAGTTATGTTAATTTATATCGTTGTTATTTTTACATAATATTCACCAGTAAAAAATGGCAAACTAAAAGCTTTAGGATCCCACGTTGCCCAGAGTTCACATCCGATAAATGGACTACTGGTAACAATATATAAAGTAATAACAATAATCGTCTGTCTCACAGTATTGAGCATAGCTTTAGACATGAAGGGATTCCGATTTTGTTGCGAGAAATTGATCTTATTTTTCTTTTTGGAATCAATGACTCCTGACATCTTATTGCTCCTCCATATTGCTATACATATACTTGCATATGTGTATACAAGTACTATGAAGGGTAATAGGAATTGCACGATACTATACCTATAATTAAATACAAAAATCACGATGTTGATATATAATTAAATACAAAAATCGCGAAATTTATCTTGATATAATTAAATGCAAAAATCACGAAATTTATCTTTATGTTGAGCTTATATGTAGCGTACGAGTATATATAAATATGTGTATGCATGTATAAATCATGTTTTTTGAAAATTAAGCAAACTAATTTTTGATGGAAAAATTATATTTTAACTATTAGTGTAATTCTCTCTCTCTTTCTCTTAATTATAATTTAATTATATAATATTATATTTAATTATATAATTTTATAATAATAATACTATTGTAATATTAATTAAATTATACGAATTATACTAATTTAATTATACTAATTTAATTATATAACTTGATAAATAATAATTTTAATTTGTTTTTCTATTAACAATTTCGTTTCATTTTCAAAACATGATTTATTTTCTTTTTACAAAAGAGAATATATTTATTATATATTCCATATTGCATATTTTAATTCGTAATAAGGCAGAACATATCTAACGTTTCTTATTTACTGCATATTAATAATAAAAAGTTTGCATCAGTATTTACATAAAGATTGTCTATGAAAAAAGCTTTCTTTTATATACAATCAAATTTTTTATTCTATTTATAATTAAAAAAGAGAAAAGAGATGTATCTATCTTTCTTTCCCAAATAATTATATACATAAATAATTAGTATATATATAGGGTGTCCCAAAACTCATAATCAATCTTTCAAAGACAGATTCCTGGGATCATCTGAAGACGATTTTTCCTCAACGAAAATGTCGAGGAACTAATAATTTTCGAATTATAAGTGATTGGAAATAAGGGGTTTTTCGTAAACTAAGTTTTGTAGAAATAGAATATTAACAAAACCACATTCTTCGATTAATTTTAAATAGAGTTTACTTTAGTTGAGTTTTAATTTAAGGCTTAATTGCAAAGATATATGATGACAAAAATTGGGAACAAAAAATGATGGTCTTCATCGACATTTTCGCTGAGGAAAAATCGTCTCCAAATGATCCCAGGAATATGTCTTTAAAAGATTGATTATGAGTTTTGGGACATCCTGTATATATATATATATATATATATATATATATATATATATATACTACTGTGTCCAAAAAGTAAGACCAGTTTTCAATTTAAATCGCGCGAGTAAACCGCACATCATAAATATTTTTTTTCTAAGTTGGCGGCATTGTGACAGACATCTGTGACAAATTTCATGTCAAAACATTCATTACTTTTTGCTTTACGCTTGGTTTTGTACAACGCTAAAAGTGCATTCGGCGATTTTTACAATATGTCTAATTATATTGAGCAAAGAAGTTGCATTAAATTTTGTTTGCGGAATGAAATTTCGGGTGCAGAAACGTTCAGGATGTTGCAGAAAGCTTTCGGGGACCATGCTTTGTCGGAAAGGAATGTCCAAAAGAATGACCGAAAAGATCACGCCAAAGTCGATCGAAAATCAAGATCATGTTGACAGTTTTCATCGATTATCGTGGTGTTGTCTATTCAGAATTCCTTCCACCCGGCCAAACCGTCAACAAAGAGTATTATTTGAGTGTTATGCGTCGTTTGCGAGAAGCTATTCGCAAGAAGAGGCTAGAATTGTGGGCAAATAATTCTTGATTTTTGCATCACGATAATGCACCTTCTCACACTGCACTCGTTCTTCGTGACTTTTTCGCCAAAAATTCGATCCATATCGTTCCACAACCACCGTATTCGCCTGATTTAGCACCGTGTGACTTCTGGCTATTCCCGAAACTCAAAAGACCACTGCGGGGAAATTGTTTTGAGACGATAGAAGAGATACAACGTGAATCGCTACGCGCTCTGAAAGCCATCTCGGAAGGCGACTTTAATTCTTGTTTCGAGGACTGGAAAATACGTTGGCATAAGTGTAATGTGTCGAGAGGGGATTACTTTAAAGGCGACGAAATAGATTTGGAAGAATAAATAAATATTTTTTGAAATAAATAAAAACTGGTCTTACTTTTTGGACACAGTAGTATATATAAATAATTATATACATATATAACATATAAATGTGAATATTACCAAGTGACATAAACTCTCTCGCCATATTTCAGATTAAAAGTGGCCCAACAGTCCCAGACGTCTGGCGATATTTCCTCGTATGAGAATATAAAAATCTAGAATTTTTAAACAAAAAAAACCTTGAAATTTGTTCTCTTTTTTGTAATAGAATAATACGCAACAATAAATATTTGAAAAATTTATCTTGATGATCCAGCCACGCGGATATACATTTATCAAAGATGTCAAGAAATTCGCAGAAGCGAATTCTCGCGTGAGACAAACGGATGATACATTTATAAGCGACAAGTCTGTGCAATTAGCGCTCTCATAAATTAGCCTGTCGCGACGCGCGCGCTATTAGATTTGCGTCCGCTGTCTGCATAGGATAAAAATTAATATCTCAAGCGCTAACTGATCCGCCCATCGTGTAAAGCGAAGTGGCGGGATGAATAAGATACGCTTCGCAAAGAGTAGAGGCGCGAATTAAATTTTCAACAAACCTGCGGTACACACAGTATAGCGGCGAACACCCATGCCCCGTACACCATTATTTTCGATCTTCTAGACGTATTGCTGCAGTAACTAAATGGATGGCAAATGGCCTGATACCTGTCTATTGCGGTGACCGTCAGGACATAGGAACTGAGATACGGACCGAATGGCTGTCCGAATTTGATCAGTTTACAGAGCACTGCTCCGCCCTGAAATCTGATGGTCGTTTTGTTAAATTCATTTAATCGAATCATTCATATTAAGCTATAGAATGATGGCAGAATACGCACGAGAAAATATAATATAAAAATTTATATACTAGAGACATATTCAAATTGTATAAAAAATGTATTTGCATGTATAAAAAAATGTATTTGCGAAAAAATATAATATAAAAATTTATATACTAGAGATATAATATATTAAAATTGTATAAAAAAATGTATTTGCATTTCTTCTCAATGTTTTTTCATTTATCTATTATTTTGAAATATTGATGAGTTAATATTTGAAAATAATAAATTGTATTTTTATAATACATATATATATATATATATATATATATATAAATCATTAATTAAAACAATGGAAGTTTGATATTTTTAAAATTTCTGGGACTCTCTGCGATAACACTATATTTTTCAATTGCGAAATTAAGCGTTAATAAAAACTTCTACTTATATCAACCCTGTTGTCATATTTTAATAATAGCGATTTCGGCTGATCTGCACTGGTGTGCCACCTGTGTAGAGTTGGTGCAAATGTGTGCAGTGCGTACACACCAACTGGCTCCAACAAATTTGTGAGAGCCACTTTGTGTACACCCAACATGCACCTGTGCGGTATACTGAGCCCAGACGAATACGCAGCTCCAGTGAGGGACTGCACCATTCGACCAGCCGAACATACAACACCCGAAATGTGCAGTCGGTGCAGATCAGCCGAAATCGCTATAACTAAATAAATTTTTTGATATTGATTAAATATTGATGCATATAATTATATTGAAAAAGCAAGAAATGTATGTATTTAATGTATGTATTTATATTAATTTTCTTGGAAATAATTTTTATTTTTCTATTGCAATGTATTTCAGAAATTTAACATTTAATAGATTTATCCGCTGCCAATCAAAAACATTAATAAAATTTGATTACAAAGAGAAGTTTTTCTCGTTTCTAGCATTATATATTTATATATTTATATATAACGTCATACACTATGTTGTTATATTTTAAACATGTTTTTTTCGTTTAAATAAAAGAATCGATATTCAATCATATCACAATTGCTATAAGTTGAAAAACACGTTTATGGCATTTCCTTATATTATTGACAAAAGTCTACATATTAACTCATTTAAAAGTCACAAGACTGATTGGAATGGCAAAACAATTTACCTGAATGTTATATCCCAAGCAAGTTGCGGTAAAACATCAAGCAAACCTGTCAACAGATCGGCGACGCTCAAATGTAGAATGAAAAAATACATTCTAGTGAATTTTTGTCGCTGATAACGTCGTCTAACATAAAGGGCAAACAGGATCAGAGTGTTGCCGATGAGTGTGATGAGAAATATGCTGGTTAAAATTGCAATTTCCCATCTGGCGAGATATTCGTCTCTCGTGTTGTCTGGCGTTTGCATCGAAGGTGACAATGACGGTAGCGTAGTATTCGAGTCGTAAAACATATTTTTTCAAAATACTCTACACTTTCCTTTCTCAATCTCTTTCTCCACTTTTCGCTCTGTCAGACAAAATTCGTCCCGAAAAAAAAAGAACTACGAGCGTGTGACGTGAACTCGCGTGCTCACCGATTGAATATTCATATGAAGTTCCGATAGCAATGATGTAACAACGCTTGTTGTCTCGATGCAATTTTTGTGGAAAATATTGTTGAACATATTGTGAAGCACGCCGATCGAGGACGATCAAACACGGTTCGATGTTACGGTCAAGAGATGGACATATCCGGTCGAAAATCCATCGGCGTGTTGGAGAAACGCGGGAGAGTAATCCGCGGATAGCGAATTCCCACGGGAGCGAGTAGCTTTTTGCAAGTCACTTGAGCAACTTTCTCGATCTATGCGATTCGCGCGAGTCACGCGTGCACATCGATATTGCACGTTATATTCGATGCATAGACATTAACATAGACTTCTTATGAGGCAGTGAAGTCCTCCTGCGAGAAAAGGACAGCATGAATTTACTTGTGTGTTTGTCTTTTTCTAACAACGTACCCGTGCACCAGTATGCGTGACTTTAATAATCTGAAATTGCATCATTCGTGTGTCAGAGGAAGACAGACACTAAGTAAATTGCTATCCTTTTCTTTCAAAAGGACGCCTCCTACTACCTTATAAGCAGTTTATATTAATATGTTTATGATTCAATTGGATCTAATTCGATCTTCGCCTCAAATCAGCCATGAAGAATCGATAAGAAAGAACAGAATCACATGAAGAATGAAATTTATGGAATTGTGTTCATGGAAGGAGAGTTCATGGAATAGTGTATGAATTATGCGTATATAGGGCATTACATATGTGTGCAGATGTAGTTGGGAGATATTTTTTGGTGCCTTTTTTTTCAATGCTTTTGCTATATATATATATTTTAATGGTTGTGTCAATTTTTTTATCATACGGGAGATTACCGATCACAATTTTAATAAATTGATCAAAACATAGATGTCAGTTAATTGAATCGACCGTATCGAAGGCCGAAATATAATGTGTACAATTAAAGCAAATTAAAAGCTGAAATTATGTAGTGTGGATTTATTATTATTATTAAAATTACGCATTTAATATTATTATTATTATTATTATTATTATTATTATTATTATTATTGTTATTAAATATATATGTTATTATATTTATTATTATTATTATTATTTTACTGTGATCAAATTAGGAATTTATTATTATACATATTCGATATATTAAAGCGGAAGAAATACATATTTAAAAATTCAATTCAAATTTAACACTTTAACGTTTTATGTAAAACTTTATTTCAAATTCCGCATTTATTTTTATGATAAATTTTTATTGTTTTATATGCTAAAAATACGCAGCAAAAAATTTTCTTCCTACTTAAAATAAAATTACGCAATTGTTTCATAAGAATGTATTTCTTATGAAACAATTGCGTGATTTTATTTCAAGAAGGCAGAAATACTATACAGGGTGTCTGCTAAACATGCGGCAAAAATTCAGGGGGTGATTTATTGGGTTATTTTAAGACTTTTTTGTTATCTGATGATTTTCGAAAAAATGCTTTGTTTCGAAAATAAAAGCAATAAAAGTTTTTTGACCAATTTTTCGAAAAAATGCTTTGTTTCGAAAATAAAAGCAATAAAAGTTTTTTGACCAATTTTTTTTTTTTTTTCTTGTAATTTTCAATAATTTTGTTAAAAAACCTGTATCACCTGTTATTTATGGAATAAAAAATTGGTGTTAAGTGCGTAGCTTTAATAATAATAATAAATTCATACTACATAATTTCCGCTTTTAACTTGCTTTAATTGTACACATTATATTTTGGTCTTCGATACGGTCGATCCAATTAACTGACATCTATGTATCGATCAATTTATTAAAATTGCAATCGGTAAAATTGCAATCTCCCGAATGATAAAAAGATTGACACAACCATTAAATATATATACAGGGTCTACCAAAAGTGTGGAAACCCCTAAATATCTCGGAAAATATACGTTTTACAGAAAAGTGTTTCCAACAAAAGTTGTAGGGTTTAAGAAGATCTATATACTGATTCTATCAGTTTGACCTTGGATGGCGTCGTCAAGGTCAGGTCAAGGTCACATTGACTTTTTTAAATGACACCCCCTACATTTGATTGCATATTCTTATAGCTTAATTCAAGAGCTTTCCAAAACACTATAATAATGTTCATTTTTATTAAGTACTTTGCGAGTTATGAGGGTTGAAATAATTTCTTAATTTTACATAAACCATAAAATATCTAGTAAACCATTCATTTTTCGATTATCTTACCTTCATACTTTTATGTACAAATTAATGAGAGGAATCAATTGGTGTAAAGAAAACACATAGTTGTTTCTAAGAAAAAATATGTAATTTGCAATTAACAATTCCATATTTTTTCTTAAAAACAACTGTATGTTTTCTTTACACCAATTGATTCCTTTCATTATTTTGTACATAAAAGTATGAAGGTAAGATAATCGAAAAATGAATGGTTTACTAGATATTTTATGGTTTATGTAAAATTAAGAAATTATTTCAACCCTCATAACTCGCAAAGTACTTAATAAAAATGAACATTATTATAGTGTTTTGGAAAGCTCTTGAATTAAGCTATAAGAATATGCAATCAAATGTAGGGGGTGTCATTTAAAAAAGTCAATGTGACCTTGACCTGACCTTGACGACGCCATCCAAGGTCAAACTGATAGAATCAGTATATAGATCTTCTTAAACCCTACAACTTTTGTTGGAAACACTTTTCTGTAAAACGTATATTTTCCGAGATATTTAGGGGTTTCCACACTTTTGGTAGACCCTGTATATATATATATATATATATATATATATATATATATATATATATATATATATATATTAAAAGAATTTGTTTTTTAGGAATAAAAAATTTAAAACAATAAATGTAAAAATTCTCTTATTGTATATGTACTCTCTCTATTTATTCCTAAAAACAAATTCTCTTACTGTATATATATATTCTAATTATTCCTAGAAAACAAATTTTGGTAAATATGTCGATGAAGGGAGCCCGCCTCGATTATTTTGACCTTGATATATGTTGTCAAGGGCACTGCCCTGAGTAACATCCAAAAAGTTTTAGCCGTCGCTTGCTGTTCGTTAAAAAGTTATTAGTTAAAGATATTAGGAAGAGAATATAGATTTTATTAACACCGTGTAGATAAAACTATAGTATGAAAACACAGTTCGAAAGTATTTTTCACGCAAAGTATGCTTATGGTCCTAAATATGTAAACATTTTTCGAATTATGAGAGACATTTATCCTATTAATAATAATATTGTTGAATAAAATATAAATGTAAACATAAATTTGGATATTTTTCTTTCTCCAATCACGCATGTACTTGAATTGATATAAAATTTAATACAATTTAATATAATTAAAAAATATCACAAATGTGTACCTTATAAGACACAATCCCCTCTCACAACCATCCCACCGGTAGGGGACGCATTGCGAAGAGTTAAATCACAATGAAGATATGATGTAAGTTATAAAGCGAGGTCCATTTTGCCCCCCCTATCAGGAGTGGTTGCGAGAGGGGGGCCGAAGGCCCCCCCTTGTACTTCCCGCGCGCGCGCGCGCACTCCATTTTAGACTTCACAGCATTAAAGGTGCCGACAAAGAGTTGCGCTACTGGATATACTGTGATTTTACCTTATAGATTCGACAGATTATTTTTACGTAAGATAAGATTATTTTTTCATTTGCAATCGATACGTAGATTTTTTTGAAAAATGGATATTTTTCGCGCAAAAATATGCAAAAACAATCTTATTTTCTTTTACGCGCTTCGGCATATAAAACGAGTCGAAACAAACACCTTATTTTAACAATTATGCCATTTAATTTTCGTTACAGAATTTTTTTATATTAATGATCGATAAGTATCGATTATCGTGTACAAACGTTACGAAGCATTCGTGTCCGTGAAACGTGCAACACAATCTTTCCGCGTCGCCACAGAGGCGTACCGTATAATTATTTATGACAGTATCGAACGATACGAAGTGTGCACAATGGGCTTTTTTACAGTGAACATTTATCGTTCCCTGGCGTATTCGTCGAGGTCTCGCCGAAACGCTTCGCAAAAAGTGTCTTTCTCTAACGCGCGATGCGATGTATGTATAATCTTGCTAATGCACTTTGACCCGCGGCAAAAATGTCAGTTTTTATCAGTTTTTTCAGCGAGTGTAAATTAAGGTCATTTATAAGTTGCCGCGCTTCGTTCGAAGTTGAAAGACACGAATCGATCGACGCCAAACCCCTACAAGAGGAGATTTAATATCGCGAGATATTAAATTTTTTTATAATGATTCGGTAAAAAAATATGACTTTTTGCAAAAAAAATTATAACATCGCTTGTTAAATAAAACTATTGTTATTTATAACGACTGCATTTTAAGAATCTCCTAGAAAATTATTTATTTGCGTAAAAGATTTCATTTTTTCATAATCATATTAAAAAATATATTTTAAAAAATTACTGTTAGAAAAAAGAAAAATATAAATCAGATAGCGTATATTAAATGATGTATACATGCTACTTGGGATCTCGATGTAAATCAAAGATTATGCAGTATATACAATTATACATCTTTTCTTAAAAAATTTATGTCAAGTATATTTCTACGTGTAAATGCGCATTTATAAAGAACATGTCTAGTCTTATTTACATTTTTCTCGCGATGAAAAAAAAATAATATCAACGTTATATATACTTTGTTCTCTTAACTGAGGAATATATAGTGCTTTTTAATTTATCCAGTAGAACGACTATGTAAGCATGACTTGATAATTGACTCGCGGCTAGGTAACTATAATGTATAATTAATTAGTGAAACGCAATCTCGATGTAAATGCGTTTATGTGCTGGTTAATGATCGAGTGACAATGTCGAACGGGCTGGGCGTGATCGCGACACAGCTTCGGACGTTTGTTTGATCAAGGTGTAGGTATACTCGGTTCGTTTATTGTGCGCCGCATTGAATGGTTAAACAGTTTAATTAAATAGGCGTAAATGAGAGAGAGAGAGAGAGAGAGAGAGAGAGAGAGAGAGAGAGAGAGAGAGAGAGAGAGAGAGAGAGAGACCTGTATTCATGCGGATTGCGAAAAGACGCACGAGCTAAAAGATCTTGGCGCGTTGTAATTATTGCAACTTGCATTTTCTCGCGTTTAAAATTTTAATTCTTATTCACAAAATAAGTTCCGTAAATACTTCTTTAATCTTATATTTATAAAAGGAAAAGTTTACGTAATAGATATAAATTCAATGTTTTACGTCAATGCTTGTCAATTTTTTCTTGTTTCTAATTTTTTTGCATTTTTATTTAAAAGATTTCATTTTTTCATG